AAAATGATTATGGAAATAAAAAGTGATCGGGTAGTGGACAAGGAAAAAAATATGCTTAGTAATGATGATAGTGATCTTGTTAGTGATGTCGAAAATACGATTGAGGGCTCTTATAATGGTATTACGCAAGATACCATCGACAAATCATCTGAAAACGGTGACGACAGTGAGAACAACACCGATGGAGATATGCAGGAAACGGACGAACTGTGGGACGCTATTCAGAAAATGATATCAGGTACGGATTACACGTATAATTTAGATATGAGGAAAGCGCGTAGGCTCGGTATAAACAAACAAGATGCAGCACAGATATGTAATGCTGTGCAAGAAATTTCCAGACTAAAGAGCCTCATCAAACATATACTTGACCAATCAGCTAATCATAGGGTATGATGACTTGCTCTACTACATTCATAACAATAATGTTGACGTTATCTGTCTACAAGAGCCCTTCACATCAGCCACAAAAATAAAAACCGCCCCTAGAATTAGACGGTACCACTCCTATACGCACACAGGAATGACAGGCCTCTTGACTTATGTCAGTGACACCATACCGCATAAGCTGGTGCAGAAGTCTGATGACAATAATGTGCAATATCAGCATTTACATATTCGAACAGCCTCTGGGTTTTTCTCTCTGTACAATGTATACGCAAGGTGTAGAAAGTTTCAAACTGATTCACTGCCTAGCTTTTAGAAACACGGCACAATATGCATGGGGAATTTCAATGCTAGACACTATACATTTGGAGACAGTCAATGCAATGGAAACGGCGAAGAGTTCCGAAATTTTGTGAACAATAGATCCATGACCGTATATGATACAGACAGGGAAACTCACGTGGCGGGGGGCAGGCTAGATTGTGTAATATGAAGGGATCTTGTGAATGGAAACGTCAGCAGCATGCTTGCAACAGAGTTAATCAGTGACCACTTTGCAATAGTAACGAGATACGCTGTTGATAATAGTCTATCTGCAAAAACGAATAGGCTCAAAATTTCTATTCCTCCTTATCTTGAGCACCACTTTAAAGCACGTATTCATGACTGGTATAACGACTACACAGTAACGAGTGTTGATAAATTCTCCATGGAAATGACAAAAGTGGTCACTGATTACTACAACACCTGGGTCTGTCCAAAGAAAACCTCAAAAAGCAACAATTCACAACGCCTAAAACAACCTAAGTGGGTCAGTGACCCTACACTACTAAGGGAACAAAAGCGAGTTCAGGAGCTTCTTGATATTTACAAGCAGGACAATACCCGTGACAATCTTATTCAGTTTCTTAAGGCTAACAAAAATCTGATACAGCCTTTCAGACCACCTAACATGAGGTATAGAGAACTATGTGAATATTTCATTTCATCTGATACACTGGAAGATATACTTGTATTATATCCAAAATTTACTATGTAAAGCTGCCGTAAACAAAAACACAGTGTTATGTAAACACAGTGGCAAAAGCATATTAACGTATTATTTTTGTATGATGTATGACATATTTCTATATTACCATGTATTATTACAGTAGTCACATACTACTGTACTGTGTCAGATATATGTAAAGCTGTAATCATGATTGCCCACGCCTGAGCAGATAGCCAGGGTGGTAAATAAACTTACTTAACTTAACTTATTGTTTTCAAATATAGTACCTTTATATTATGTTATGACCACAGCTTGCCCTCACCTGTGCAGTTAATCAGGGTGGTAAATAAACTTACTTAACTTAACTTAACTTAATAGCTGGGGAACCGCCACTTAGGCCGAGACCTCAGCCAAGTCAGAGAGAGAGATACTATTTATATATTTATATTGTGTTCCTTTTATATTATTATCGTTTCGAATTGGAAGGCTGCCACTTTGAGTTTTTCTAGAACCCTTTTTATTTTGTATTTTATCAATTTCAATCTCATTTTTACTAGAATCTTTTATTTCATTTGTCTTTTTTTTCATTTTATCGTGTATGGTCTTGGTTTTAGAGCAGTTTAATTAGGTTTCACTTTAGTCAATGGGGTTTTATTGTTTCTTGTTTTACTTTAACTTTAATATTAGTTTTAAGTAAATTTTGCCGATCTTGGCATCTTTTTGTTTCACGTAAACTAGAACCATATCGCGGATACCTTTTAATTATGAAAGCAACACCTAAGATGGACATCTCTTAGGCCTAAATCAAATAAAAAAAATGGTCATACACTACTACTTAACGTCCTTTTCAGTGATCAGAGAGGAGACAAAATATGGAAACAAAATTACACTGAAACATGGGGAGGAGGTCCGTAGGGTACAACAACATAACTAAATAGCAAAGTAAACGCTACAGAATGATTTGTGGCTTATTTTCATCGAGGGTACAAGTATATCTGATTCTAAACATTGAAATACATACAAATCCACTGCAAACATAACAAACAAAAAATATTGTGAGCCACTGATCTGTAGTGTCGTATAAGGGGTTCCATGACCTGAAATTGCACGCACGCTCACGCTCTAAACAGACGCTCACCCAGGCTTAAGCTCAAGCTCATGTACTGCTCACACTGAGAAGCATGAAGCGGTGGTTCGTTCGGTTTCTTCTGTTTCCTTCTGCTTGAATACAGACGTCTCTGGGAATCCGGAATGTTAGTAATGATAGCGACGATTGTGATGAGAAGAGACATAATGACAGCATTAACAGCAGTACACTATTACAGGTAATAATAATTAAAGAGAAGACCATGCATTGGACTCTCCTCTCCACCGAATCCCCAGGAAGAATCCAGTTAAGAGCAAAGTCACGGCGAGAGAAAACGATAGCCAGCCTTCGGAGCACTTATCCCGTTCTTTGCATTCGCTGTGAAATGTCCCTCCCCCTCCCCCCGCCATCGCCTCTCGCATGGCAGAAGCATCACCAATGTTTTTGTTGCTGTTGTTTTTTTTTTTCTCTCTCTCTCTACCTTTCTCCCCCCCCCCCCTCTCTCTCTCTCTCTCTCTCTCTCTCTCTCTCTCTCTCTCTCTCTCTCTCTCTCTCTCTCTCTCTCTCTCTCTCTGAATAATAGCAGAGGGATGAAAAAAAAGAAAAAAATGAAATTAGACTAGGCTTATTCAGGAATGAATGAAACTCATCAAAAAAAAAAAAAAGATAACGAAAATGAAAGTCAGAGAGAGAGAGAGAGAGAGAGAGAGAGAGAGAGAAAATAAGTCAAAATAAAGGTGATAAAGAGAAAGGCAAAGGCAGGCAAGAAATAAAAAAGGAAGAGAGAGAAGGATAAAGAATGAATAATGCAAGAAAAGGAAGAGTGAAAATGAGAAAGGTAACTGAGAAACGAAGGAAAAGAATAAGCAACCGGAAGACGAAAAATTGAGGAAAGAAAGAAAGAAAAGAAGGGGAAAAGCTTCTCTCTTTCTATCTATGTGTCCCACTCTCTCTTTCTATATTCATCTTTATTTCTTCTTCATTCCTCTCTTCTTCATTCGTGTGTGTGTGTGTGTGTGTGTGTGTGTGTGTGTGTGTGTGTGTGTGTGTGTGTGTGTGTGTGTGTGTGTGTGTGTGTGTGTGTGTGTGTGCATGTGAATGTGTGTGTGTATATGTTCGTGAATGTTTGTATGTATGCTTACATGTTTGTGTGCATGATTGTGACTGTGTGTGTATATGTATGTGTATTTATATGTGCGCGCGAATGTGCGCGCATTTTTTATTTTATTATTATTTTTTTTATAAGTGTAAGCGTGTGTGTATATGCTTGTGTATGTGTATGTGAATATGCTTGTATATATGTGTATATATGTGTGTGCATGTGTGTGTGCACATGTATGTATACATAGTGTGTCCAGGGTGGTCATTTCCACACAGCAAGTCACGTGGAGTAAGAGGGAGAGGGAGAGGGTGAGAGGAGCGAGCGAGAGAGCGAGCGAGAGAGAGAGATAGGGAGGAAGGGAGGTGAGAGGGGCGAGAGAGGGAGAAGGAGAGGGAGGGAGGGAGATGAGAGGAGCGAAAGGGAGAGAGGGAGAGAGGAAGAAAGGGAGAGGAGAGAGGGAGAGAGGGAGAGGAGAGAGGGAGAGAGGGAGAGGAGAGAGGGAGAGGAGAGAGGGAGAGAGGGAGAGGGGGAGAGAGGGAGAAAGGGAGAGGAGAGAGGGATGTGAGAGGGAGAGAGGGGGGGGGGGGGGGGGAGCTGTAGACGAATGACATGTGTTAGGGAAGGGGGTAGTCTGATGTAGGGGGGGGGGGTCATGCTTCTCCCATCATTGATTGAGCACAAACTGATCCTTACATAGTCTTATTGTTTGCTCAGAATGTGCAAAGACGCATGTATGTGTATCCATACACACATTTGTGTATGTGTATATATATATATGTACGTACACACACACACACGATTGTATAGAGCAGTGGCCAGGTTGGGCACATAGTGGGCATCTGGCTGTGGAATGGCAATGTTTAGCTGGGTGTCCTAAACGCCAACAATTTTGGCACTGACGAGGAGGTTGATATGGTCGGACAGGGATGGATTCTCCACCTATGTAAACGTTAAAGGGAAGGTCATGTCTACAGACCCCCCCCCCCCCCCCCGTGACAACAATGGGCAAGGGATTGAGGGGGTTGAGAGAGGCAGTGTTATGAAGAGGTGGGCAATAAGGCTGTAAAGTAGTAATGAGGGAGGATGGGGTGATTGATGAAGGTTGTGGGGGTAGAGGTGAAGTTGAAATGCCTCCTGGAGCTTGCGTGTTGACTTGGGTGGATAATGTTGATGCATTTGAGGAGAGGGTAGTAGTTGCAAGGTCAAGGGAGAGCCTGGGATTGGGAACAAAGTAAAAAAAAGTCTAGGATTTGACAGTTTCTCTTTTTCCCCCCCAAGATTGGACAAAGGTAAAGCAGCTCAAATTAAGCAATAGTCACAATTATTACATGGGTTAAGTGCTCTGTACAAATTTGTAACTAGTTTAGGCAAATTTGTACAATCAGATACATCACAGCATTGGTGTAAGTAAAGGTGAATGAAAAACAAACTACTTCATTTTTTATCATTTTATGTTTCTAAGTTCATACTTCCGCTTTGCCTAACAAAACAATAACAGTGCTAAAATCCCACAAATACAACTTTCATATACATTCCAGTTGTTTAAATCATACATTTTGAAATGTAATTAAATCAATATCAGGTGGCAGTTAAACTCAGGATGAGATTATACCACTTCCATGGTAACAAATGCCTGGTATCTGCACGTTACTAAGGAAGCAGTATATATACACACTACATCATCTATGTAATGAAAAGGTTCTTGAAGGGTGTATGTACATAATGATCTAAACGACTAAAATTCAGGAAGAGTGACAAGACAAACTACTGAACCACAAAACAAACTGTGCTTTAAAAAGAAACATTCGCAGGACAAGCTCTTCTGAGGTACCTACATAAACTGGCTACGATGACATACTGAAGAAATTCAATCTCCCGTCTCTTCACATAATCAAAAAACAAAAACCAACATAATTAAACCACAATGAAGGGTCAACAAGTAGATTCCTTGCATACCAACATTTATGGTCGGACATTACACCTCTCGCTTCTCAAAACACATGATCTTTCGCTGTCTATATTCTTCTTATGTTGGGTCTCTTTGCACAAACCCATTTTAGTACTGTGGTTGTTTCTTGAGCAAAGTCATGTTCATATATGTTTATATATATATATACTTCTTAAACAATGTGTATAGTTAGATGGTCTATCTCAGAGCCTGGGTTTAGCTGCCGCGACTTCCTAATCCTGGCACACGGCAAGGGCATCATCGCGTTCTTCGCAGAGCTCCTTTCCTGTGGCATCCATCTTTTCGCGGGCAAAGTCGTCAATGGGAAGATCCTAAAACAGGGATAACCAAGTGTCAACAAAATATAACTTGCAAGGAATATGAACAACTCTTAACGCAAGTGTTTTATATAAGAATTCATAAATATATTGTTTGAAAACTAGGGTGAATCAATTTCAATGGTTTTGTACATGGTAGTTTGCAATTATATATATATAAAAAAAAATATATATATATACATAATACACCACCACCGCTACTACTACTACTGCTATTCTTACACACATGGGACCACTCACCTTCACGATAGTCCAGGCCTTATCCTTGATGGTGATGGGGAAGGAGTACATGACGCCTTCAGGGGTGTTGTAGGAACCGTCAGAGAAGACTCCCATGGAGACAAAGTGGCCGTCAGCGGTGCCCTGCCAGATGCTCTTCATGTGGTCGCAAGCAGCCTTGGCAGCAGACATGGCGGAAGACAGCTTACGAGCAGCGATGACAGCGCCACCGCGTTTCTGGACAGTCTGAAGAAATTAAAGACCATGTCTTAATGAGGTGCAACCTATCAGGGAACACATTATTCAAGGCAGATGCGTATTACCACAGGTTATGCCAATGGCGATTTCGAATCCACTCTAAAGAAAAGCGACCTTACTGTAATGAACTCGCCCTTCAAGAAGGCATCGTCCTTAATTGCGTCGTAGACAGGGACCTCCTGCCCGTTGATGCTGGCGACGGCATGGCGAGCGTCTGGGAACTGGGTGGAGGAGTGGTTGCCCCAGATGATCACGTTCTTGACGTCGTTCACCGGGACCCCGAGACGGCTGGCAATCTGGGCCTGGGGGGAGGTAATAGGTTTGGTTTTATTCTACAGGATTATTATTACAATAGTGAAAGACCTGATATCATTATTACCGGTGGACGTGATACCATCATCGCTGGTCAGGAAGATACACGATGGTCACCCATAAAAAAAAATTAACTGACAAAGTAACACTCTCAATATTTACACTATTATTTTCTATGCTCCACTTCACTAAGCTTTACATACAACCCTATTTCTCTCTTCAACATTTTCTTATCTTTATACTTAAACTTGTGTAAGGTCAAGAAAATAAACAAAGCACATTTTACACATTCACAGGACAACAATAGTTGTAAGGATTGTAAGGATTATTATTATTAAAAAAAAAAGTAATAAAACATTCAGGCTCATAGTTATTTTTTTTCTTTTCAATTCCTCAAGAAAAAAATTCTCCAAGTTTATCTCAGTTAGTGTGCAATTGAAGTAAGCTTTAGTTATCAGTTCAAAGAAAACACGTGGACCTGTATCTTCAGTCCCCACAAGTGCACCTTGCTTATTTACTACCTTTTGTACATGCACTATACTTTTCATCCTCATTCTTCATTCTCTGTTTAGTCATTCCCATCTTAAAGATTCATTCAGAGCATGAGAGTGAATATCTTTCCTCTATGACACTGGATCAATAATATGAAAGCAAAGCATCAACTTCTCACTATCAAGAGAAGCAACAGCAAAAATCTAACAATAATAATAATAATAATAATAATAATAATAAATAAATAGAAAACAAAGAAAGGACAAAGATGAGAAAACTCAACTGTGATTTTGACCACACACCTGAGCTCGGTTCTGATCCAGACGGGTCATGGCAGAGAAGTTCTCCCTGGGGATAGAAGGAGCGTACTTGGCGCAGAT